AAGAAAAAACGTGTGTAAGACCATTCGCACGTGTCGAAATCAAACATTCAGCCTCCTCGGTGTGTCCGCTGCCTTCATCCAACAGATCGCTCGTTGGCCGGCGCCACTCTCTGCTGGCGCACCAGAACCTTTCTCAGCAGGGTTAGCACTGCCAGCATCACAAGAACCAGAAGCACACACAGCAGGGCGAGCAGAGGGACGATCACCTTCGAGTCACTGTGGGGGGACACTTGGAGGCTCACAGGAGGGACGGTCTCCTCTCTGTTGGTGGACAGTCCTGAAAGTGTCCCTGCAGCACAAGACACATTGCCTTGAGGGTATGGAGATGTCGTGTTCTCTCTGCATCCCTGGTCCTCTGGAGGAGATGTCAGGTCAGTGGGAGAGACTGATGGAGACACGTTGAAGGATAAACACTCCTCATAGGTGAGAGTCTCGAAGGAGTAGGGTAAAACCCGAGAATCCTGGAGGTTCTGTTCATTTGTGACCAGGACTTCTTTTGACATTTTCCACTGCAAATCATCCCAGTTTTCATAGGAACCTGGGCCTGATGTCCTCACCGCCTCCACAGAAGCGACCAGAGGCAGCTGCGTCTTCTCATTTGGCGTTAAGACACGTGGACAGATGGACACAATGGAGAGATCGAGCAGCAGGCGGTGAGCGAGGTGGACCGGCTCTCTGCACACCAGATCTGTAGCCATCTTCAGTCTGCCGCTCAGCAGCCAGCGATACAGATACAAGATGTCGCACTCGCACACCCACAGGTTGTTGGTTAGGTCCACGGACCTGAGGCGTGGCAGGCTGTCGAAGGTGTTTTCAGGCACCGAGCGCAGGCAGTTGCTGTTGATCTGCAGGACCTGCAGGTTGACCAGGGCGGCGAGAGAGGGGAGATCCAGAGAGGAGATGCAGTTTTCCGACACGTCCAAATGTGTCAGCGATGGCGGGAGACTCGCAGGGAGGCTGGTGAGCTTGTTCCCCTTCAGGGTCAGGAGCTGCAGCTTTTTCAGACCCAGCAGCGCTCCGGGCTGGATGGCACGGATTCGGTTGTCCTCCAGGTGGAGGCGGGTCAGGTTCCTCAGCTGCCTGAGGGCTCCTGACGTGATGTAAGTGATGCGGTTCTCCTGCAGCAGCAGGGACTCCAGGCTGGGGGGCAAGCCGCGGGGGAAGCGGGCCAGCAGGTTGTGGCTGAGGCTGAGCTCCTGCAGGCCGGAGAAGGCCTGGAGAAGGTGGTCCACGTTGCAGAGCTGGTTTCTGGCCACGGACAGAGCGGAGGTGCCGAGAGGCACGGAGCGGGGCAGCGACCTGAGACCCAGAGACTCGCACAGGACCAGAAAGCCCGGGCCGGGACAGCAGCAGCCGGGGGGACACGGGGACATGGTAAGGCAGGCCAGGGGCCAGACGAAGAGAGCGAGGAGGACATCGCATCTGCACCACAGCATGACTCACTGTGAAGGACGAGGAGCTAATTAGACACATGCAGCAGATTTCATCACTACTTTATGAGTCATCTGAAGTTTCAATTTATGTCTCATTAAGAACTATTGTTTACATTTGACACTGCCGGATCCTCTTGATCCAACTTTCAAAGACCCAGCTTGTTGATTATTGGGCAGCCTTTCATTATTCTTGACTGTCTATCAAAGGTGGCTCCTTCAATCAGATCTCCTTGGATCGTTATTCATTTTATTTAAGCACACTTCCTCCTGACAGATTGCCTGGACATGTAGCAGTTAGAGGACGGATCCAGTGGGTTGACATCTGGTGACTGTATGGTGACAGTCAGAGGATCCCTTCCTCATCAATTATGCACTCAAAGTGGCAGTGAGAGGAAGGACCTGGAAAAGTCCTGCCACTCATCATGAGCAGTTTACATCAAACTTACACTCTGGTGACTCTGGAGAAGTGCAGCTCCTCCAGAGTCACCATCAGCCTTCCAACTTTGTCTCTGACCTGTCTGCTGTGTTCTTTGGTCTCTATCTACCAATAAGGTGACATCTTTATTTGGGGATTAACGTGGAACACAAATGCACAAATGAGATTGTTGGAAAAAATATTTCTTCTTCTTCCGCAGTTTAGCGCTGCTTTGAGTTGTCCGACCACAACAAATCCTAATAAAATGTGTTGGAATTAATGCTGGTGACATGATCTAATATGAAAACATTGAAGAGACTCTACTCTACAGCTCTGACAGAAGTCAGTCCTGAACATTTGTCTTTCTGCTGCAAAGAGAGGGTCGACCTGAATGCCTGCCTCTCTGAGAAATGGAAGAACAGCCACTGCAGGCAGGAGACCTTTGACCTCGGGGTTTTCTCACCTAGTTTCCAGCTGGCTGAGTTTGCAACATGGAGATAATACTCTAATGGCTGAGTGTTAATCTAAAAATAATAAACTTCTCTAAATGAACCAAGTCTCTTTGGCATCAGAGACTTGACAATTAAAACAAAGAGCTGTTTTTATGGAAAGTTACTCCTGAAATAAAATTTTACTGCCAGGGTATAATTTATACCCCAGATGCTGTTTTTCAACATGTATAATTTAAAAAAGAAGCATTTAGTTCACCACCGTGCAGAAAGTTGGTTGAATCTTTGCATTACAGATACTGAAGTAAATGTCCCTCCTCCTGCAGCAGCTTTGTTTCAGACAGAACCATGAACTCCTGACTCATCCATTGTTGGTTCTGCTTTTCCTCTGTCAGATCACGCACCGTGCTTAAATTCATATTTACCGTCACACAATGTAGCAGCTCACCACCTCTTTCTGAAGAGGATCTTTGACTTTTTTTCATCTTATAAATAACATTTTTATAAAAGTTTAAGATATCTCTGAAATATAGATGCATAGTGATTGACCTTTTTTTTTTCTTTTCTCAATCTGGCAACTCACAACTTTATTTGATTTAATTTCTTTAATCAGTTTAATAGAAACAGAGGCCCAATTTTGAGACGTTAGATCACAAAGTCAAATTTCTTTTAAGCCATGTTTGATAAGTATAGCTGTTTGATATTAACTGAAGGTAACATAATCACTTGATTGTGCTATAATATGACACTACATGGCTGGGATTGACCACAATGATGCCCTTTTAACTAAATTCTGGCTGGACTCACCATTATCCTGCTTTGGGATTATTTGCTCCTCTGTAGAGATGGTCAGGGGTCTGTGATCCTCGGTCTTTAAAGATGACCACTGCTGCTCCAAACGCCAGCCGGACTCTCATCAAAGTTTCACGAGTGCCTCAAGGTGCTCTGTTACCTCTTCTAGATCCTCCTCATCATGCACATTGATTGAGCGGTCCTATTGTTTGTCAGAGGCAGCTAGGAAGTTTTAGGAAGGAATAGAAAGCTCTATGTGTTTCAGGTGTCTGTAGCTCAGGTCTCTGCAGGTCAGGTTGGTTAAAAATCCAACACACTGATTCTCATGAGCAGAGCCCTTAACAAGAGAAGGTTTCTGTGTTTCCTGATGGGAGGAGTGAAAGTGAAGGGGGAGTACTTTCTCGAATTATTTAGAGCGTTGCAGGCTAAAGAGCAGGGAATCTGACCCGTGGGTTCTGTCAGGGCTCACGTTTCCTGCCAACCTGGCTGCTTTTGATTGTGTGCTGTCATCTTATTTTTGATCTCTGATGTTTTAACCTGCCCACGAATCAGACCGGATTTGCTTTCAGTCTCATTAAACCAAACTTTATTTAAGTCAGATGTAATCCCATCACAAAGAAAAATTGTGAAACTTGTGGGTTGGGGGGAAAAAAAGAAAAGGAAAAGTCAGTGTTTGAATTAGTCACATGGGGGCAGCATTTTTTTTCTTCTCCTTTTTTTTTTTTTTAAATCCATTTAAGTTCAGAAAAACAATTCGATAGTCAAAAACACAACTCAAAACATTCCTGATGGATTGTTAGGAAAAGCCTTTAAGAGAGAAAAAAATGCAGCATTACCAGTCATCCATCATACTTTTATTTTTTAAATAATGATTGTTGTGGAGACTTAGTGACCCTGAGTTTATACTTAACTATATGATTCATTTACCATCCTCCACTACAGGTCAGGACGGCCTCGGGTCCAGAGTGTGTTGTTTACTACAATTACAGTTATTTTAACTCTTTATAATGATTGCTCTGACCAGAAGCGCCGTCCAGTAAACGGCTCTTTTCATGCGACAGCTTTGTGACTCATGAAGCTCAACAGTAATTTGCCTCATTTGAGTGGCATGTTTTCTTATCTTCTCCTTTGGAGGAGGAGGCTGAGACACATGAGCCTCTGTGTCACATCATCTTTGAACCCCTGAAAAACAAGACTCTGTGGATTAATTACAATTATAAACTTACTTATAAAGCACATATTTACTCACAGGATCAGCCTCTCAAATTTTCAAGACACCCCATTACAGTTGATTGCAATTGAAAATAGTTTAGTTTAATTCCTTTTCCTAGAAGCTTAAAGGAAAATAACTATCAACTATTACTAATAGTTGATAGGATGCTGCATGTTGCCTAATAGCCACTTTATTTGTTTGTGACCCTAATCTGGAACAAATCAATGTGTGTCGTTTGTGCAGACAATACACAGGCTCTTGTTCTGCGCCAAAGGAGGCGTGTATGTATCTGGATTACATCTGCTGAAATATTTAAAGAACCTTGTACAGTAGCCAGTGGGAACAAAGGGCGTCTCGTCAATCCGTTCTTCTGCTCTCCTGCTTTTAGAGTTTCCTCGTCGAGGCTTAAGATTAAAGGAGGTCTTCTGTCTCACCGCAGCAGATATTATGAATCTTATGTTTGCGTAATTACCTTAAAGCAGTCATCTGTGATTTCCGAGTGCATGAAGCTCCAAATTACAGATTAGCAGAGGAACGTGATGTTTATGTAGAAGTCTTCATTTATTTTTGGAACCTTGTTGCCTTTCTTAATTTTATGTCTTCAGGGCTGCGTTGTTTTTTTTTTTTTTTTTTGGATTGTTTGTTTTGTTTTAATTGAGTAGCAGCACATGCAAGAATGACAAGCACACTTCTTTCTTTCTTTCATTTTATTAGACATTAGCAAAACAAACCTATCATTTTGTAGAATGAACAAGTGTCACAGAGAAAGCAACGCGTGAGGACGACAGTGTGAGGCTCGGATAAAACAGCGAGTTTTAACATGACAAAACGACAACCTACAAAACATACAAACTCATCTAGGTTTCGATGCTCGGTGTGAATTTAATCCTTTTAATCACTCAACTTTCTGACTCGTTTTTTTATTCTTTACAGTAGGACAGAATAACAGACGTTGATGTATAAATATAAAATAACGAACCCTAATTTCTAACTATATTTCATCCCTTCATGGGTAGAAATACTGATAAACTGATATGAAGGGTGAAATAAAAAATACATATTTTTTTCTTATACTTAAAATATAGTTGAAATAAAATTCATGAAAATTCTTCATGTTGTTTTTTCTGATTGGGTTCTGAAATAAAATACAAGGCACCAGCTATAATAACGCTAAAGTAGAGGTAAATATGAAAGTTTAATATTCATAAAGAAAAGAATAATTGCTACTCATCAGGTGAGGTTTACTGGCATTTATGCGTTTATGTACATCACCAAAGACGTTGCTTTGAACGGCTGATTCAGATTTGAAGCTCTTGAAAAACGCAAAGCGGAGATTTTCTGGTGGGAGCGAAACCTTCCCCACGTGAAAAACCTCTGCTTGGCCACGATGGCCTTTTGAAATCACAGTCCCTTCAAATAACATTTAGAAATGACAGACATCGTTACTCATGTCTGACTTATAAACTGTAAGCAATAAACGGTGGTGTGGTTTTACTGAGAAGCACCACTCTGATATAAAGTATGTACTGGCATTACACTGCACTCCATGTTTATTGACCCCCCTGGTGAAGATGTGTAGAAACTCTCACAGGAATTCATCTAGAAAACACATCATTTAACCTGACAAAATTAGAAAAATCCAAGCTTTAATTTAAATTATTCCATGGTGGGAGATCCTGAATAAGGAATAAAATATCTTTTTAAATACAACTGCAGATGTTATAATTATTTGCATCTGTGAAACTTGAAGCATTGTCCTATTTGTACTTTACTTTTTTGAAGCTGATCAGAGTTATTATGAAGTTTCATTTAGTAATTTGTAGCACTTCCCTGAGGTATGAATATGACCTGGTATGTAGGAGCATTTTCTCTCTGCCATTCTTCAAAACGGGAAAGACAAGACAGCTTTTCATTCAAGCCAGGCAGATGTGTATTGATCTTCATTAGTTTGGAAATGGCTCAAATAAAATAGTTACGCTCCTTTATGTATCGATATCTGCAGACAGAGCTGTAACACAAAATATTACAGTCACTGGATCAGTGGAAAACAAAGCTTGACAAGTTTACAGATCTTCCACACATCTTAACTAGAGGTATCAGTAATTGTGGAGGGTGCTGTGTGCATGAATTCATGCACATTATGTACATAATTACCCACCCATTTTGTATCCATTCACTTCCTTGTCATTAGGATTTCCCCACCATTTGCATTGTTTACAAATTGCACAGCTTTTCCTTTCCCTCACATAAATGTATAGAGGTTCTGTTTTTTTCTTTAATCTTGATAATGAAACCTGCTGAGGTGCTGTGGATGAATTACAGACTCGCACAGTTTGACACTCAGCTTTCTGTCTTTTGTTGGACTTTATTCCGATTTTATGCACGTAAAGATTTTCATAGCAGGTGTGATGCCACCTGAACGGATTCCCTTCTGAGTGACACTTTGACCCGTTTTGCCTCGGCCGTGTGTTAGTGGTTGGACTTTTTCAGGTGGCAGGTGCAGACCGGATGACTGGAGCTGGTGCTGGGGCTGGCGCTCTTCTGGACCTCCTCCCTTTGCTTCACTGGTTCTTTGAACTTCACTTCCTCTCGCCTTTTTTCCACTTCCTCTGTGTCTCTGACCTTCCTGACCTCCTGTCGAGGTGACGACCTGACGTCTCTTCCCTTGTCTCCCACCAGCGCCTTGGAGGGCATGCGCAGATGCTTAGGGGAGGCCGGACCCTGGACGTGGACCCTCTTGACGTGGTCCACGGCGTATGGTTTCTCCTGGAGCTCGCCAGAGTTCTTGCGAGCTCCGGTTTTATTGGCAGTGTACTTCCTGGGGGGGTTGGGGAGGGGCTTGTAAGCCTCCAGCTTGCGCTTATGGCTCATGGCAAACGCACAGCAAATGATGAAGACCAAAACAATAAGAAGAGAGGTGACAACGATGATGATGAGCAGGTTCTCCTGCAGGAAGTCCACCACTCGGCTCAGGACATAGTCTTTCAGGCGGATCATGGTGGTGGTGATGGTGTTGGTGAGGCTGGGCGGCGGAGTGGCAGCGGAGACTTCAACGGGCGCTCGTGTGGAAAAGGAGGTGGGGAAAATGAGCTCCAGCTCGGGTTCGTCGCCGCTGCCGTCCACAGAGATGTTGTAGAACAGAGGACTGCAGTGGCACAGACTGCAGCACAGCCAGAGCAGAGTCGCAGCGGCGGCGGGGAAAACCAGCTGGGACTTCATCGTCAACGGTGGGTCCTACAGCAACAGCAAGATCAGGGTTTTCATTTAGAAATGTACACAAGAAAGTCAAATTTAGCAACTTATCAGTCAAAAACATTCTCTGTAGCATTTTAAATCACTGTGTTTCAATAAACAACGAAATCAATGAATGAATTCAAATCAAAAAGGGTTTGACAAAGAGGGAAAAAAAATCAAACAAAACTTTTGCTTTAATGAAACAACTAACCATGTCAATCATGATTTAAAGGCTACAGTAGGAAAAAACCTGAATACAAATAAAATCTAAGCATTTGTGGAGGATAAGAGGGAAGTGAATGCTTATTAGATGATATTCTTAGAAAGAATCAACATACCCACTGATTCTTTCTGTGTCATCACAATTCAGATTTATCCTTATTTAATTTTAAATTACTGAAGCACTTTTAGTTTAGTGTTCACTCGCACAAAACTACAATTCTCCTAAAAATGGTACCGGATAGAAAATTTGCATTGGTTTATCCTGGATATGTGACAAATATCTAAATGGAAGTCAATGGAAATTTCTGCCAGAAAATTAAAGAGTGGACAGAAAAACTAAAAAAAAATGTTATTAAATCGTTAGAAGACTGAATACGATTATGTCTCTTTGGAAATGAAACACAAAGAAAGGTGAGATTATTGTCCTTTATTGTCCCCTGAGGGACAATAAAGGACTAGCATGTTTATATTTACTATGACCAAAGATTTTTTTCACTATCATACAACAATGAAGCTTCTGTTTTACTGTGCGTTGTGCATTTGGATTTAAATATTTTTAGATGTTTTTTTGTGAAGAACTCTTTCTCCATCTCTGGTGTGTCTGTGTTTTCTGCCTCTCCCTGCTTTGCACCAGATCTATTTCAGCCGACTCCAGAGTAGCCATTACTTATTTGGGGTGGAGACAGCAACGTTTGGCCTTATAATTTGTAAAGTAGAGGGAGGCCACCCATCCACCACACCAAAGCCAGAAGGAAGCTTTATTCCAGTGGGAGCACAGAGGCGTGGGAGACCTGTGGCCGTGGCCTCTATATTTACACTGGGCACCAGCTGGTGAACACCCGCCCACAGCAGCTCAGACCTGAGGGAGATATTTCTGCTTCCAGGAAAACCTGTATTTGTGAACAGGCCAACTGGCTGAATAAACTCCCCAACCTAATGGTGCCTCTGGGGTTTTCACTGAATTTTCTCTTGCTAATAAGGAAAACTCCAGCTGCCATTCTTTTAGCTACATTTTTGCTCCTAATTTGGTGTATAATTAGGAAGCGCCAAGCTATGGAAACCAGCCTCTAATCAGCATGGTGCTGGAGCGAAGCTGCTGGAGCGAAGCTGCTGCAGCTCGTCGTGGTGCAGCAGTGTGAACCCCTCCACTGCTTGTGTGGTCAAACACGCAGTGTGTTTTCTGCTGGACCACATGGTGGGCTGGGTATTCATCCTTGGATGTACAGCCATACATGACCGCTCTGCCTCTTCAGTCTGGTAATTACAGCTAAAATTACGTTTCCAAAATATCTCCACGGGGCTGAGATTACCACTCAGTCACCATGTAAGAGAAGAACATGCAGAGATCAGAAAGGACAATGCTCAATTTTCTCAGAGCTTATTTTAATATTTTAAGGTGCTTCTACGCCGTCGTGACACAGACTTAAGATTTACACGACTGGTCGCGTCGTGTCAGTTGGAAAAGTTGAGCTTTCTGTGTTTTCGTCACAGACAAAAAGTTGTGCTCGGCTGGGATCTATAAGAAAATCATCTTTACAGATAAAAACCTAAAATCACATCAAGTATTTGTATTCAGTCCATTTTAACTCCACAAATCAGACTAGTAGAGAGAGGACAGCTCTGTGTATTTAATCTCGGTATAAATGCAGCTGGAGTTCTTGGAGGTTTGGGAAAATGTTGCAAAAATACGACTGTGCCAAGATAACTGCCCACTTAAATTGAGAGGCTTAGCAAGAAGACCAGCAACCAGAGAAGCAGACATAAGGCACATGGTGGCTCTGGAGGAGCTCCAGAGATCATCAGCTCAGGTGGGAGAATCTGTTTCCAGTCTGTGTGGAAGGAAAAAGTCATTTTTGAAAGAAAAAAAAACTATGTAAAGCGTAACATGAGCCCCCAAGGGAACACAACAGAGGTGCTGCGTTACATTAGGGGTCATCTTTAGATCTGATCTTCTAGATGAACATAGAGGGGCTACAAACTCTAAATGCTGTTCAAAGGGCTGCATTTATAAAACGGATTTATCCGAGGTTTGTCTAATTTATTCCAGTCTCAATAGTTTTACACAGAAAGGGAACCACAGCTTTTAGAAGATGTTCAGTCATTTGCAAAAACATGAAACTATTTAATTTAACAGATCAATACTCTGGTTTTGTACAAAGTACTTAAAATATGCAATTTTAAAATTGTACGTCAATTTAAGGAAAAAAAAAACTTAAATATTTGGAGCACTTCTTCTGAATTTACCTGAATTTCAAGGGATTTTAACTGTGAAAAATGAAAATCAGTGAAGCTCTACCATTCCCAAAAAGCAGATTTCCCTGATGAAGCCAAGTTAATATATTTTTCTCTTACATTTGTGATTCAAAATTTGATTAAGTTGAGATTTGAACTACTTACAGGTCAGGGCACTTTGCTTTTTTTAAATAAATGTTGTAGTGCTCGGTGGCAAATTTATCGTCAACATCCTAAAAATACTTAATTGTTGCAAAACTTACGAAGTTAAAGAAGTTCCTAAAATTTCAATGTCCATTTAGTAACACTGAAATTAGTAAACATCTGTCCACCTCATGAACGCTGACATGTAAACCCATATAACTAATAACTAAAAATATGCTTGATTTTGTTCTGGTTGTCCTCTTTGTTTTTTTTTTTAACGTTTCACTAGGAAACAAACTTCTTTATTTTTTGTTCTTGCTCCTGAAACAACTAGATCCTTAAGCAACGCTCTGAGTAATAATAGTGAAGGAGCTTTATAGTATTTCTCATTCTTTCTACTGAAAGCTCTCCTATGGAACCATATTTCCTGTCCATCAGGTGCAGCAATTTGTTCAAGTTCAGTAAATATTGTATTTTAAGTACAGACTCACTTTTAGAATCAGACTTACATAGGAACCAATAAATTACATTTTCAATGTAAATTTGATTACTTAATATGAAGAGGTGCGGTGTCATTTCATTTCATGCATAAAAAGTATTTTGTTGTAAAAGAAAATGTAACAGCTGACTGAATGTCCTCCAACAGTTGTGATTCCATTTCTTTTTCTTTCACCAGGTGTTGAAATCATTTAATGTCGGAAATGTTAGAGATGGAAAAAAACAGAAGATCAAATTTTGCAATTATGGCTTAAAATTTCAACTCCCACCCCGAAAAACAAAAAAAAAAAAAAAACAAAAGCACTAAATTATATTCACAACTGTTTAGTTGAATCTACACTAAGAATCTACACTTTTAATCTACACTTTTATTCCTAATTTATACATATATAGCTCTAGAAAAAATGAAAATGATCACTTTCTCTGATTTTACTTTTTATAGGTTTGTGTTTGAGTAAAATGAACATTGTTATTTGATTCTATGAACTACTGACAACAATGTCTCAGAAATTCCAAGCAAAAATGTAATATTTATTTGCAGCAAATGAGAAATGGTCAAAATAACAAAAAAAAGATGCAGTGCTTTAAGAGAAGAAATAATGCAAAGAAAACAAGTTAATATTCACTTAGAAACAAAAATAATATGTTTTAACTCAAGAAGAGTTCACAAATCAATATTTGATGGAATATTCAGGATATTTTCAAATGGATTCAGTCTTTTCCAGAGCTATAAATATGATGTTTTTTTTTGTTATTAGTGGAAAGAATAAGACTATTCTTTATGTAAGGACCTAAAAGGCCTGTCTTTGAACATAAAAGTATATAAAACTTATATAAACCTTATAAAACAGTAATTATTTAAAAGATTCTTTGAAACTACACACAGTCTGCAAATAAATCTTCAATACAAAACTTGAGAACCTGATAAGAGGGACAAATGTTAAATTATTTTTGTACAGAGAAAAGATTTGCAGACTAAAATGTTGAATATGTAATATAATAAAAAATTATTAATATCAATGTCTGTTTTAAGTAAAATTGGTGTATTATGTTAAATAACATTACATTTTCATAAAGAAAACAACTTTTATCAGTTTTAAAAACACAAGTATGCTTGAAAACGACATATATGACAGAAATGAAGGTTCTGTAATCTGTTAAATATAAAAGTTAATGACATACTTACAGAAGGAATTTCCTTCGTTTGTCTGAGTGGAAAGCAGACGCAGCGCAGAAAGGTTCGGACTGATAAAAAAAAGAGAAGCGACAAAGCAGCAAGAAGGAGAGAGTAAGGATATTCTACCCCTCCCTGTTAAGTTATACTTAGTTTTTTCACTCTGCTCTAAAATGTCTCCACAGAGCAAAATGATGCCCAGCCCTCCATCCTCAGATTCTCCTCCCTCGTTCTCAGCTTTCCATCGTCAGGCTCCATCCAAGTTTATGCAGGAGCCATTTTGGATTTTTACTTTCCTTTTTAAAATCAGTCTATGATACTTATTTCTTATCTTAGCATAAAAATGATCACCTGAAAGACGATTTTATTGTCTTTTACAGAATGTGTTTACATCAGCACATTGCGTTTTTCTCATCAACCCAAAGTGTGTCTGGTACTTTAACCCCAGCAGCTGCAGTGATGTCGCAGAAGGTGCGCAGGTCTCATGTTTTAGCAGAAATGGTTATTTCTGGTTTTGTTGGGGCGAGTCTGACCAAACAGTCCCTGCCTCCCACCAAGTCCTTTCTAATTAAGACCATGGTGATTACAGCCTTACTCTGGAAGGCAGCACAGGGAAGCAAAAGCACCAGTTTACTCCCAAAAACACACCAAACTAAGTGAACACATAAACTTAAGGACCATTTTGGTGGCCTTACCTTTGAACATGAAAGGCTTTTATTCAAAGCTGTTCATGTTCCTTTGATTGAAATTAATTCTTTCACAAGACCTCAACTTCAGGTTGTGAGCAGTGATTTACTGCTTCACAGAAAACAAGCCGTTTGGTTATCCGTTTTTTGCCTTTAAAGGTTATGCTTCAGTTTAAAACGCTTTTTAAATTTATTTTATGCTAAAATATCAATCAATTATTGGTTTAAAATTAAGCAAATTAGAAAAATGTTCTCTATATTTGTAATTAGCCATGTTTAGTCAGTTCAATGTGGAACTGAAGAGTCAATTCACTCCAACTACAGCTGAATGTTAAATAAGTGAACACTGAAATGTTCACTCATTTATTGAAGCAAAAAAGCACAATTTCAGTGCAGATTTAGGTCTAGACTTTGACTGGGCCAAACACAAAATATACTCTCATCTGTAAACGCTTTATTGAAACTCTGGCTGTATGTTTGGAGCGTTGGATCTGCTGGAGGGTGAACTAAAACACCAGGCTCAAGTCTTTTGCTCTGCTCTTATCCCCTTCACTGTCTCTGCTGAAGAGAAGTATCCCCACATTATGATGCCTCCACCTCTTTGCTTCATCCAGGACGCTGTGTTCAAGGTGATGTGTAAAGTTCGCTTTCCACCACACAGCCATACGCATCAGCTACAAAGATTTATTTTGGTCTCATCTTACCAGAGCAACCGTCCTTCACGTGTATTCTGCGCTCCCGAAATGATTTATGGCTAATTGTAAATGCAGCTCTTTCAAAAGATCAGAATGGTGGCGTATACAATAAATATTGCTTTAAATACTTCCATTTGAGCTGCAGATCTCTGCAGGACAGGTCCTCAAGAGTTATCAAGGAAATCTTTGCTGTTTCTAGAATTAATGCTCTGATTGCCTGTCGGTCTCGGTCACTGGTTTCAAACTCCAGTCCTGAAGGGCCACTGCCCTGCAACTTGTACCTCTGCTGCACCACGTCTGAATAATTAGGTCATTAAGGCTCTGGGGAACTGATCTACACAAGGAGGAGGTAATTAAGCCATTTCATTCCAGTGTTTTGTACCTGTGGCACATCTAAACACCGCAGGACAGTGACCCTTGAGGACTGGAGTTTGACACTCCTGGTCTAGGTGGACGGTCATGGTACGTGGTACTCTTAGCAGTTTCTGACGACAGCTTAAACAAATAGATGTCCAAATCTTGAGACATAATTTTATAAATTGCACTTTATCTCTGACTTATCTTGTGTATTCTTTGGTCATGCAAATGAAAGAACATACGAGGAGATTAAATACTTTTGCAAGGCACCGACACCTGGGCAAGTCAAGTCAGTTCAGAACCAAAAGCCTCACCAGCTTTTTAAATAAATATTTTTTGTAACTTCATTCATATTCAGCTGTAGTTTGTAAATCCAACATTTTCATCAGTTACCATTTGTTTTTCAAGAACATTTTCAAAATGGGCCAGTCCAAAAAAAAAACAACAAAAAAACAAAAAACAAACGTAATCTGTCAATCCAAAAGTTGACAGATGATTCCAGCAGCGTCACTAGAGAGTGCTGGAGTTGCCCTCACAGCTAGCTGATAAATATCTCTCATCCATCCTCCCTCAAATTATTTATGACTCTCATTCTTTACTCCAGGAGACGCATCAATGCTTTATTCACTGGCTCTTGTTCTACGTGTCTATTTGGCATCCAGAGTTTATTTTCACCCCGGAAACGGAAGGTAACCTCTTTGTCACAACTGGAGATTATCGGCAATATTTTGTGCATCATATCCGCTGTCTAATATACCACTGGCTAATTTATGGATATAAAATGTTATGCATAATTGTCTAAAACATGCTTCATCAGATCATAATGGTCTTATTTCATGTTTGTTCAGGAAGACAAGTAAATACTTTTGACAATATGGATGAGAAACACGCTGCGGTGAACTCAATACTTGGACAAATAATTCAAAATCAGCAGTGAGTTCATTTTAAAAATTCTTTATTAATTTTCTTATAATCAATGTCCAATATTTGAAGCAAGGATAATGAAAAGAAGCTGAGCAGACCTCACCAAGGCTTTCATCCCGGTTGGTTTTTGTCTGATCTAGTTTCTCATTTTTCATATGCGATGGAGATTCTGCTTTTCTCTTATGGTTGTATGGGGGCAAGGTGCAAGGAACACAAAACAGGAGGGGACGGGGGGGGGAAGACGTTTAAAACCCATCACCCATACAAATACCCTCTTTAGCACAACCACAAAAAACTAAATGATTCCTGATCATATTTACACAACTTTCACTCATTTTTCTAAACCTTAATTACAAACATACACCTATCTTTCAGCACCACTTCCACCTACATTATCCCTTTGGATTGCTGTTAGATACTAGTTTCTGCACCAACCATGCTATAAAATAAAATCTACGGAGCGGCAGCCTCATTAGATTTCCTATTATCGTTAATGTACAACTCGCTGCTCAAAGTGCATCCTGATGGCCGCTGACTTCCAAGGCTGTGCTACAGCCACAAAATTCTTGGTTTGAAATCAATTTAAAAAGATTTTTTATACCCGTACCAAGAAGAAAAACGCCAGAGTGTCAGTGGCTCAATGCTCAGATTAAACGGAGAGCGAAGATGCTGCCTGGTGTACGTGTCAGAATGACTGGCAGGACTCGGTGGTGTCATCAGCACTTTAGGAACAGGGTGTCAGTACAAAGTATAGCACCTCAAAGTGGTTTTAAAATCCAGGCACCTTTCAATTCGTCTACTCACTACACAACCTCCAACACATACTTTCAGGGTTTCCTCTATGGCACTTTCAGGTCTGTACAGTGTTAATTAACAAAGGCAAACAGACTGGACCATTAACCCGTCTCAGCTTCGTCTCAGTTTTAAACAAATCTAAAGCATCAGAAAAATAGAACTTCTGTTGGACCGCAATGACTGTGGTTGGACAATGGTTCTGGTATTTGGAATAACTGCACTGATTTAAGGAGACAATTAACTCACAGGATTTAAAAGTGGAAGTGCTAAGAGGGATTCAAGCACAGCTGGAACAAGACAAAGAATAATAGTAATAAAAAAAACAGGTAAGTGGTATCCAAACTGTTCGTTTTTCCCAAATTATTGGCAGGTAATGGACCTTCAATTTGCCATGAGCTGGAAACGAAGCAGGGACATCCAGGACCGTGATTTTTACCATGAACAGCTTCTTCTATAACATCCACCTTTATCGGAAGATGCTCTGAAATAAATCAGTTCGTTGTTGATGTTTTTTCTTCTCTAATTAGACAGAAAACATAAACTAACTACATGTGGCTTTAGCAAGACCATTTACAACAAACACTGAGATTGGAAGTTGCAGGTCCTACAAAAACAAATCAGTTTTTGTGGCAAAGATGAAAGAAAAAAAAAAAGCTCTTATTATTCTTCCCATGTGCAGCACATGAAGCATGAACTAGGTGACCAGCGCCACAGAGCTGCCACAGCAGACCGTTTACACAGAGAGGAGGCAGGAACTTTTCTTGGTCCTTTCATGAATGTCCAATAAGATCAGTGGAATGTGATTTTCTACAATAGTTTCAGAGTTTATATGAATGTAGCGGGAATGAAAGGTATGCATGTCCACATGGAGGTCACTGGAAAAGAAAGCAGGAATAGATTTGTGCAGGTTTAACTAAGACAAAGGATTTGTCATTTGGGATATTATCTACATGTTTAATGTTGACTGGAAAACTGGAATGCATTTTCTTTGACTGGTGACTAAATTTCAATCATGTTACTTTACCTGTTATCAAAGTAGTAAAATGATTAAATCCTCCTCTTTATATAAACAGTCTACTTCACCAAACTTCACTGTTTGAGTCTAAAACAGTCTCACAGAAAGAGAAAGGAAATACTGTTCAGGAGGTGTAAACACAATTTAAATTTGGCAACATTTTCGTTTTGGGACACGTCAACGCAAAACACTGGCACCTACTTAAAAATGCAGAGATATCAGAAACTGGAACTGTTGTTGATTTGGTCAGTCTAAAATGAGTCGAATTAAGACCTCTTTTTTAATCAGTTAGGGGAAATAAAAGACTGAATCAGAATAAAAGGAATGTTCTTTTCATCAAAAAGCAAAAGCACTTTCTGCTAAATTTACCAAATCCTTCTTATTCCACCTGTGTTAAACTGAGGGTTGGGATCTCGCTAAGAAAAAGTTCATCTGGAATGTTGCTGGGGATCGTTGGCTGGCAGGATTCAGACCAAACGGCGTCAGAAAGACAGAGGACTACTGCTCCCGCTCACCCTGAAGTCCCCAGCTAAAGGAACGTCCTGAATTGTAGTGGGATGGGGGGATAAATGGCCCCTAAATGGCAACTTTGGACATCTGCTCTTCAAGTTTGATGATTCGCTTCTCCTGACTGCTGATCA